TCTTCCCTCAATTTTACCTTCTAAAACGGCATTAAATTGATACGATTGGCACGTACTGATTGGTCAAAATGATGTGAAAAGAAAACCATGTGGGAAGAGTAGAAAACTGTATGCACTTGTTGGATTTTCTTTAATGAGAATGACTTTGCCTTGTTACTGTAACAAAGGCTACAGAGTTTATATTTTTGTTACATTTACAATTTTTTTGTGATTTCAAACTGGCCCTGAATGATTCAGTCATTTTGATCATTCAAAAAATAGGTCATAATCCAGACGTTCAGGTCCCAGCACATTGGGTTGTTAAGGGGTTAGCAGTTCCTGTGTGTGTGAGTGTGTGTGCTTGGTGTGTGTGTGTGTGTATGTGTGTGTGCTTGGTGTGTGTGTGTGTGTGTATGTGTGTGTGTGTGTGTATGTGTGTGTGCGTGTATGTGTGTGTGCACATGTGGGTGTTGGGTTGCAGCTCAAAGCAACGTCTCAAATGTATGCAGTATGTTTAGCAGAGCAGGGCACTCAGGCAGAGGTCACTGAACGAGACTGGGGCCGTCAGTATAATACAATTGTAGATAACGATAATATTCAGACTTTGTTCTCCCATTATTTAATTTCTTTATAAACATTATTTCACTTAAAGATGAATCAAATTTTTCATAATCAATTCATTCCACACTGAAGAAAAGTGCTGGTTTTTCATATTTTTTACAGATTTTCCAACAGAACAAGGATAAAAAATGTTTGCTTTTTACTTGAGTTAATATTTACTCACTGGAAAAGACTAAACAATATTCTGTGCTTGAAATAAGACTAAACCTGCTTGTTAACACACAATATACAAGAATCAAATCAAAAAATCAACTGGGGGATTATTGTTGTCATTTTTTGCAGTTTATGGATTAAAGAGCAGACATAAATATTTCCATGTTTACAAGATCACATGATCAAGGCAACTAAACCAGATTAAAGATGGCATTCCAGCCCGCATGCCTTTCAAATGTTGGATTGCTCTTTTATTATTATGGCGAATGTACGATCTATATAAAGGTGTGCTCCTGGTATCCAAGCAACAGCTGTGGTTAAGACGAGGTTTAATGAGTCAAACCTTAAATGTAAACATCTCAGCAGTCTTTAAACGCAGAATACTGCATCCACGGCTCAGTCATATCTGTGTTTCCAAAATGTGTGATGTTCTGGGTGTCTCATTTAATCCTCTCTGGTATTTCTAGCACCACAATGTGGAGAGTTCAGACAGTGTTCAGAGCTTCTTCAAGGTCAATGTTGTTGTCAAGACAAACAGTTCATTTACAGTTACATGCAGCATCGACGTCTCCACAACAATAACACCACACCTTTGACTAAATCATTCTTTGTGTAGTTGAGGTAGGAACGCACTGATACGTAGTAGTTTTCATTATTATTATTTGTAAATGTAAATACACCAGACACTTGCTAGTTTCAATCCGTTGTCCCACAGTGGCACTCACAAAGACACACTCATTCACCCTGAAAACTGTGTTTAGGCAACATGCCGCCCTCAGGATATTGACTGAACCGTTATCATTGGGCACAGATATAACAAAACTTCCAACATCAGCACCAAAACTAAACCGTGAACGTTTATCGACTTGTTATCTTCTGCTGAAGCCAGACTGATGTGTGCTGAGGCTCTCGCTGGTTAGCGGCTCCTGAACACACCCCAAGAAGTCAATCGTGCGCTCCTCCTTACACTGATTTTTTAAGATAATTCACATGACAAAGATTGTTGTCCACACTCCATAACCTGTATTCATCTTATAGTCAATGCAACAAATTTTTGAGCATGGACAAAAACACAGTGTATTTTGAATGATTAATAGCATAGACCGGAAATGAACATCGCAGCCAAATGTCTCAGTATTCAGACTTGAATTCAAAGCACCAAGTTACATTTCTCCAACATCCAAAAGTATTTACAATACATTGCTGAAACCACATCGCAACAGAAAATACCAACCAAACCCAGATCAAAAACTTTCACCAATAAAGTCTTTCCTGAAGGAAACCACTATCATTATGAAATATCTGAGCTCAGAGCATCAGACAACACAGTTGAGATTAATGAGACACAGGCAGAGCAGAAAAAATCGAAATACCGATTCAGGATGTAAACAACGTCCTACGCCTCGAAACAAAACACAGACCAACCGTCAAACAATACTTTCTGTAACAAGAAAATGAGGAAGGGGGCTTAGAGAATGGAAATATTTGCACACATTGGAACACAAAGGCGACATTCCTAAGCGTGGCCATTGAACGCGACTCCATTGTCATTAGGTAGAAGCTTGTTTTGGATGGTGAGGTCCTTATGTAACAGCCCTGCTCTCAAAGCAGCACATACACACATTACACACATTACACTGTATCAATAACTACTACTAGGGCTGGGCGATATGGCAAAAAAGAAAAATCTCGCTTTTATCTCCTGCTTTGGACGATATCGATTTAAAATCAATTTTCCTTACCGACTTTGCCCTTAAAAATATTTATTGATCCATCCGCTCAATGTTCAAGTTTCAAAACTACTTTTAACTTGTTTCTTGTACAGACTGTGCTGATAATGCAGGTATAATTCATGTGCTTCTTGAACTCTCACAATATCCTTCTTTCGATTTCGAGATTTTCACATTTTTCACAAATTAGATTTTTTCAAAAGCCGATCTATTGCCTACATTTGATTTATTGCCTAGCCATAATTACTACTGACCCGATGCTCAACATTTCAGATGGAATATATT